CAGGCTCCGTGTGAATTGTGACTCCGCTATTTCTGTGGAACATTGTAGTTACCTGATCTTACCTGTAACCATGAAATTACTACGTATTTGAGCTATTGAGCTGTGATCCATGTTAGAAACCATGTCTAAGCTACATGCTTATCATGTTGGGACCCACTGAGGTCATTTTGCTATTGAGCTATCTGCTTTCATTGCATTGCGTACTCATTCATATGCATATCATATCTCAGTCTCTGTTACCATTTATTAATACATCACATCATTATTTTTGGCTGATTTTTCATGATATTTAGAGCCCGAGAGACTGGAGAGATTAATGACTGAGTGAGGCTGAGGGCTTGATTGTAAGGATATTGACACTATAGCACGTGAGTTATCCGTGCAGCATGTGAGTTGTTCGTGCAGTTATAGCGCTTGGGCCGAAGGAGCCCTTTCAGAGTCTGTACACACCTCCAGTGAGTGCAGGTACCTACTGATTGCGAGTGCCGAATGATTGGGAGAATTGAGTGGTCGTGGGGACTGAGTTACTGTGAGGAATGAGTGGCTGTGAGGATTGAGTGACTCGGAGGATTGAGTGAATTGATACTCTGAGAGTATGCATATGGTTTTATCACTGAGTCGCATCGCATTTGGCATGCACACTTGACATACAGGCATATAGACATATTTTTCCTCATGTTGTACGGTATCATGTCATTCATGACTTCTTACACATATTGACATATGGGCGTAGAGATGTATTTTATAATTGCTACCTGGAAAGAAAATGAAACATCTTATTCATTGTTGAAAGGATTTTTGGAAAAAATAATAGTTTTCACACTTACTCATATTTTCGACGATTTCGGTAAAGGATTTCGGTTTTCACTGATATACTTGAAAAGCGGAACTATTTTTCGGGAAATTATAATAAGCTGAGCATTTTATCTCTGAGTTATTTCTTTTATTACTTGCTTTACGTTGTTATGAACTGCCGTTGGCTATTGGTGTTGGACCCGACCTTTGTTCCAGCTTGTCACTACTTTCAACCTAAGGTTAGGTTTGTTACTTATTGAGTACATAGGCTAAGTTGTACTCATACTATTCTGCACCTTGCGTGCAGATGTTGGCTGCTGATGTTGCTGTGATCGACGGGAGCTGGAATTGAAGACGTACCTGTATTTCGATTGTAGCTGCCTCTTGTTCATGGTAGCTCTAGACTTATGAAAAATCTGTTTATGTACATTTCGAACAGATGATGTATTTATTTCATATCAATTTTGTAAATTCTAATCTTAGAAGCTCATGATTTGTCCTACTAGTACTTGGGAAATGTATAAGATTCAGACATTTCCTTTACTTAATTACCTTATTAAATCTCATAAGAATTGGTTAGTTGTTAATTGGATTACCTAGTGGGTTGGTTTAGAGTCCATTACGACTAGTTGGATTTGCGTCGTGACACCATGAATAAACTTCAATTGTTCAAATTTTAAATAACACCATGAATAAAATTCAAAAACAAATGAGAGCCAAATAGTTAAAGCGATTTAGTTGAAGAATGAGAAAATGACAAATTGAGATTTTGGATTTGAGAATTAAGAATTGAAAGATGAGTGAAGAAATGAATGGGGGTGGGGGGAGGTCTATTTATAGTTTAACAAAGGGTTAAATTAGTAAATAATAAAAGTGTTATTTTTTTTAAAAAAAAAAGCCCAAAAGTGGCTATTATTGCAAATAAGGCCGTTAGGCAACGGTCAAAATTGGTGTTGACCGTTGCCAACGGTCAAATGTAATTTTTTTTATTTAAAAGGAACTAGTCGTTGAACCGGTCAGGGCCAGTCCGGGCCAGGCCGGGCCAGTCTACCGGTGCCAATTTGACATGACAATTCTGATTTTTATCTGTCCAGTTAACCAGTATCACAAAGACCACCAGCACATGCCGGTTCCCTTGTAAGCCCACCCCTGTCCGACCCCTTTAATATCGGTCCGGTCGGATTGAAAACCGATCCAGAATCGGGCCACCCCAACCCGTTAGACTGGTGAGTATCTTAGTTAATTTTAAGATATTTGTTATCTCCAATCAGCATAAATATTGAGTAACTTGGTCCATCAAAATTCAAACATACACAAAGAAAATACTAAGTGATTTTTGTCTTCGATGAGATTTGAACCTAAAATTTTAAGATTTTCCGTCTACTTTATTAGCCACTAGGTCAAACCATTGTTATCATTTAAGTGTTAAGAGTTTAAATTTCATCAAATTACCCATTCTTTCTCATTATTCACCGTCCATACTCATTCCAAAAAGTAAGAAAAAGTCTTGTAGTGTCTGGTATAATTTTAGCATCAACAGTGAGTATTGACCAATTCCGGGCGAGCCTAAGGGCATTCACTGTTCGGACTTGGTTCAATTTTAGCTTAAAGGAAATCACATAAATTTGTTTCTTAAATTTTAACAAAACTAAGTCAAACATAGGTTGAGAGTTCGAATCACGCTAGAGGATACATGAGCACTTTTTTTTTTTGGTGAATAAAATTTTTATTACCAGGGAAAGATGTTATTGTACAATTCAAAACAAAAACCCCTACAGTATGATCAGCAAGACTCAGACTGTAGTAACTACTCGAAAAGAAGCTAAGCTACTAGAATCTATCTATTGATAAGCTTTGTCTCTCCTATTACAATAGTCATGGATACCAATTCATCGTTCCCAATTTGCTTGCAATCTTCACCTTGTTTGCACCTCGCACATGTACATCTTGCACAATTGATCTTGTCAACTATTCAGCATCTCTTTTCTTGTTTTGAAATACTCTGAGGTTCCTCTCTTGCCAAATAGCGTAGCCACATGCAGCTAAGGTCATTCTGTATATATCAGCACTGCCATTTTTGCCTCTAGCATATCTCTCAGCCCATTCTTGCTCCATACTCCATCCCATAGGTTTCCTTCTTATCCCCTGCCATTTTAGTAATCTGCTCCACACACTTTCTGAGTATTTGCACAGAAGAAAAATGTGTTCTCTGGATTCATCCTCACTTTCACATAGTGGACAGACCATATTACTCCCAATACCCTATTTTGCAAGCCTGTCCTTAGTGTATAGTTTTCCATGAGCTATCAATCGCAATATAAAGATCCACTTTGGACTTCCAGCATTATTACATACAAGCCTTCTCCATGAGACTTTCTGGTAGTCCCCTTGCATTTGTTGATATAGCTTCTTTATAGAAAAAGAATTCATTTCTACTATATTTGCACGCATGTACCCGGCATTTGCAAAGTATTCTTTGGCCTTAAAGATTTTCCTCACCATCCAGGATGCTTGAGTCGGATTTATGTCCCATATTGGCCTGCTCTTCCCGTAATAAGTATGAATCCATTGGATCCACAACTTATCCTTCTTCTTGCACAAATTCCAAAAATCCTTACTGATAGCAGCTTTGTTCCAAGTATGCACATCAATCATGTTTAGTCCTCCTGCAGAGAGTGGTCTGCAAACTTTATCCCATGCCAACAAATTCTTCTTATTATTTTCAGCACCCCCTGTCCAAAGGAACTTCCTACACACTACCTCAATCAAGTGAATAATCTTCTTTGGGAGAACAAACACCTGAGCCCAGAAAGTTTGTATAGAAAATAGGACACCTTTTATCAACTGTTCCCTCCCAGCATAGGATAGGTACTTTGTAGTCCATGATTCAATTCTTCCAAGCATTTTCTCCAGAAGAGGGTAGCATTGTACAACAGTTAATCTCCTTGTACTTAGTGGGACTCCAAGATATCTAACTGGTAGCTGCCCTTTAGTAAAGTTCAGCTTTGTCAGGATGTCATTCTGTACTACCTCAGGAACACCGCCAAAGTAAATAGAGCTCTTCTGCTTGTTTACTACTAATCCAGAAGCCTTTGAAAAATTTAGAAAGCAATCAAATAAGAGCTAGACAGAGATGGCATCTCCTCTGCATAAAAGAAGCATATCATCCGCAAAACCAAGTTGTACAATCTTTATTTTCTCGCATCTGGGATGATAATTGAAATCTGGATTGTTTTTGAGAGTTTTGAGGCTTCTAGTGAAGTATTCCATAGTTAACACAAATAGGAAAGGCGATAGGGGGTCACCTTGCCTTAGTCCTCTTTTGGCATCAAAGGGCTTGCAAGGCTGACCATTTATCAGTACTGAGTAGGAGACTGTTTTCACACATTGCATGATCTACCTTGTAAACCTTCCTGGGAATTCTAGACCATCCATCACTTGCTACGCCTTTTTTACATATCCAATTTCATCATACACCTTGGGGAGATCCCTTTCCGCTCATAGCCCTTCACCAATTCATGGCTTAGGATTATATTATCAGAAATGACTCTACCTAGGACAAAAGCAGACTGAGAATTGTCCACCAGCTCATCCATCACATCTTGGAGTCTCTGAACAAGTATTTTTGAGATGATTTCGTACAAGATTGTGCAGCAAGATATAGGTCGATAATCCTTTATGGATGATGGGGTCATCACTTTTGGAATCAAAGTTACTGCCGTGCAATTGATTGGTTTGAACATCTCCAAACAAGTATTTTTTAGATGATTTTGTACAAGATTGTGCAGCAAGATATAGGTCGATAATCCTTTATGGATGATGGGGTCTTCACTTTTGGAATCAAAGTTACTGCCGTGCAATTGATTGGTTTAAACATGTCTGTTGTCTTAAAGAACTGCAAGACATCTTTGGTGATTTCATCTCCAATAACAGGCCATGCCTTCTTGAAAAAACATGCATTCAACCCATCTGATCCTGGTGCTTTCATGTCATCTATCCCCCATAGAGCTTTTTCTACCTCTTCTCTTGTTACTTGTGCAATCAATATAAGTTGCTGAATTCTTCTCAGAGTTGGCCCCTGCTTCATACTTGCAATTGTATTGCTAGCACAGCCTTGGTAGCAGTTCCCAGTAGGGATTTATAATAGCCAATTATCTCAACTTCTATGTCTTTCTTTGTTTGTAGCAAATGCCCCTTCAGACTGTTCAACCCCTTATGTAGTTCTGTGAGTTCCTAGCCTTGATATTTGCGAAGAAATATGCTGAATTTGAGTCTCCAATTTGTAACCATTTCACCCTAGACTTCTGTCTATATATACTTTCTTCAATATGGTCACACTTCTGTATTTGGTTTTTCAACTTTTTTTCTTCCTCAATTAGCTCATGTTGCCTCAAGTTGGTATCCATCTTCTCCTGGACTTCCTCTAATTGGTCCCTAAGATATTTCAGCTTCTTATCTACTCCCATATAGTGTTGTGTATTTAATGTCTTATGCTCTTGCTTGACCTCTTTAAGTTTTGCCCAGATACTGCCCATGCTGCTCAAATTCTCTTCTTTGCACCAACACTGTTTTATCAAGGGAATAAACCTTTCATCATCTGCTAGGCAGTTCAAAAATCTAAATGGTTTTCCTCCATTGCCTCTTCTCCTTCCAAATTGGATGCTTAGAGGGGAATGATCCGAGAAGTATGGTTCCATTACTCGCACTTGCAATGTTGGCATTGTGGTCATCCAATCTCCATTTACTATTGCTCTATCAATTTTACTGTAGACATGATTGTTTGTCCAAGTATAGTTTCTACCCATAAACTGTAATTCAGTCATACCAGTATCAAACAGAAAGCCCCTGAAATCTCTGATTCCCACCTCCTGTACAGGGGCTCCAAATTGTCTGTCTTCAGGATGCAACACTGTGTTGAAATCCTCATGATGAGCCATGGTCCCTCCTGAGTAGTGTTGATACCCAATTTTTTCCTATGTATTTTTATACCTTCAAAATAGCATATGTATGCATATATAATGTATGTCCAAGTGTCTCATTATTTTTTCTTAATTTTTAAAGGTTTTTAAATCAATTTATTTCCCTATTTTATCCATAAAAACCCAATAATTATTTCTAAAATTATCATTTTTGGTGATTCACTTGTTGAA